GAAATCGTTACCAAAATTAAAAGGAATAATTAATTGCATAAATCAAGAGTGTGTATAGAGATAAAGTGTAGAGAGAGAAAGTAAGAGGGAGAGAGAAAGAAAAGTCGTCCGTGTCAAAGACGCCCCTAAACTCACTTAACAAAAGCGTATTTATACTAAACTAAAAAACTAAATCAAAGAAAAAGTTAAAACAAAATAAAAATCCTAACGTAAACACGCGCCCGGTCGGGCGAGGCATCGCCCGGCCGGGCGCGCCTTTTCACACTTAAAGCCTTGCTCGCGCCCGGTCGGGCGCGCATCCGGGCAAACCTTTGACCTATGGTCTTCTCCTCTCGCCCGGTCGGGCGGGGGCACTGCCCGGTCGGGCGGATGCTTGGGCTTACTCTTCTTCGTCCTTTGGGCCTTGTTACCTTAGCCCAATTCGTCATCCTTCTTGGATCGAATTGCCCAAGATCCAAATCTCCTCATTGAGCCCTTAATCACCGGATTGAATCATCAATTACGGTCTTGGGCTTCGAAACACGATCATATAAATACGTTTCAACTCCAATGCTCGCGGTGGCTCCACTAAATGCCGGGAAATGCACCAAATCTGCAATTTCCTGTAAAATAATGTCACAACTACGAAAACACTAGAAAACGCGTATTAGTAATAAAGTTGGCTCTAAAGAGCCAAAAGTACTCCTAACTATGATAACGGGACGGGGAATAAATATATATATAAAATAGACTTATCAAACCACGATAGCTTATAAGGAGTTGGGTGGTCACGACATGGCATTTTCAATGAATTAGCTACAGAAAGTGAACAAGCGTTAGTGCATGAACCTGAATCAACAATCAAATTACAAGCTCGGCCTTTGATCAAACACTTCGTATGAAAAAGATTGGATCGTTGTTCATGTTCAATTTTGTCCAAAGGTTGTGCAATCAAAGAACATCGTAGAATCATCAAGCTAGGTCCTTCCTCTGATCCATAAGATGGTCCCTTAAATAGTGCTTGATAATCATGGCCAACTTCCTTATCTTGTAAAGAAACAAGAGCTTGGTTGCGTTCTTCAAAACCTCCCTGATTTTCCTCCGTCCGTTCAACCATCAAAGCAACATGTTCCTCACGTGTGATGATCAAATTATTTGGACAATTTAGAGACAAGTGTCCCTGCTCTTGGCATTTAAAGCACACAATTTTTCGCATCTTTTCGCTATTCAAACTCTCTTTAAGTTGCTGCCTGTTTTTCAGCTTCTCTTGGAATGTTTCCTCCACTTTCTTAGTGTTAACATCATCAATAGAATTCTCACTAGGCGTAGCAGTAGGTAGGTCTTGTTTACTTGAGAAATTTGGTTTAGAAAACCGTGGTTTGGGCTTCCGTTGCCTTTTAATTTTACTAGCCAAATTGCATACTTCATCAAAAGTAGTAAATTGTTGTAATCCAAGAGTATGTGTGACATATGGATTCAAGCTAAAGAGAAACTTAGCAATCTTGTGCTCATCATCTTCATGTAACTCACATGCCATATAAAACCTTTCAAACTCATTAATATATTGTTCTACCCTCAATTCGTTTTGCTTAAAAGATTGCAACTTCAAATATAAGTCTTGCTTGTATGAACGTGGGATAAAACGTTTACGCATCTTTAATTTTAATTCACTCCAAACATCAATTCTTTCTTTCCTATCTCGTTCTCTTTTATGTTGCATACTTTCATACCAAAGAGATGCATATCTCGCAAGTTTAATAATAGCATAATCAAAGCGTCTACTAACCTTCTTATAGTCAAACACCCTATCCATGCGTCGCTCCCAATCAAGATAAGCATCAGCATCATCATTACCGTCAAAGGAGGTAAATCCGCAAGTTTAAGGTCGTCTTCTTTCTTGTTACTGCATGGTTGTGGAGAAGACTCACGTTCCTTGAGTTCTTGCTGGATTGACATTAGAATGGACCCAATGGAAGCTGATTCATCGTCCCTTTGTTAAAGGCGTTCTTTTGTCTTATCCATACGAGCATTAAGGTTCTTAAATTCATCCAACAAAGCTGCAAATTTGCCTTGATTAACCATGTTTGATGGACTTCAGACCAAAACCCAATTAAGCAAAACACGTCGAAAATTGCTAAAAATTTGTGAAAAGCTAGAACTATATGTCTCCAACACTCGACCAATACTTAGCTATAAATTTCCAGCCGATATCATCAAGGCTCGGTTCAAGAATCAAAGTTTAGCACAACGGCAAGGTTTAACAAACCATAAACACAAGCTAAGCTCACGTTTTTCATATGATAATCAAAACTCAAATCTGATTTTTATTAATTCTTAACCACGTATTTATAAGCTAAATAATTAGCCTAAAATCGTGAAGAAAAAAATCTAATCTAACTAGGAAACTTATCCTAACTTGTAACGATAATATTTTGCAAATATAATCTTTAAAGTTAAGCTATCTTCTACTAACCAAATTAAACTAACAAATATATCCTAATAATTAAAATAAACTTCTAAGGCCTAAAACAAAAAAAAAAACTCTTTCAAGTGAAAGGTAAAAACTCATAGGAAAAAATCAAAAATAAGCAATAACCATCTCAATACGTATCAATGGGTGGAAACCATTACCCTTAGGCCAGGTAATGGTAATGTTCCGGGTACGGATCCAAGGGTTCAGACTGGGACAGGCTGAGTCCAGCTGGTAACCTGCACAAGGGAACACACGTGACTGCCCTCGGGGGTGGCTCGAGGATCCCCCCTCCGATGCTTAATTTAGAATGTGTTTAGAGAGAGAAAGTGTACTTAAATAGAGAGAGAGTGCAATAGCTTGTGTGTCTAACCTCTTTTCCGTTGTACTTTATCCCTTATTTATAGGTGTACGATCTCCTTTAAGGGGAGTCCTACTTGGTCAGCCTGCGGGTGTAAGGAATATTTCAAACAGTCAACTTTGAGCCCCACTGTGATCATGCACTTAAGTGTGGTGGCGTCCAAAGGGAAGAAAGCTAGAGATAAAGAGTCGCCAACAAGTTTTAGGAACTTGTAAACTGTTCACGAGTGTGAAGGTTACACCCCATTCACGATCACATAGATCGCTAACTCTATAGTGGTCCGGAACCATGACTGGATATTCGGAGATGATGGTACGAATCCAACCTAAAAGAGATTGAAAAAATTTTCGCTCGTTGAAAAATTAAGGTAAATTTTCTTCCAAGATTTATAGCATTGTTATATAAACATCATCCATGACTTTTTGACTACTAAAAAAAGCTAGTAAAAAAAAATGAACATAATCAATTATTAACAAAATGAAAAATTAGGATCGAAACCTCTCTTTGACATTGTTGAAAATTTAAATGGAATAATAGATGGAGGGGGAGTTGTCATATGTAAGGAAATAGTAACATTGTACGGAGTGATTATAATTTATGAAGTTGTTATTAATAAAAAAAAAACTACACTATAATGTAGATATGTACATGGATGATCGTCATACATTAAGATTAATATATACATTAATACATATAGAAATATATACATTAAAGATATACACATAATACCGATGAGATAAGTTTTGATCTAGTGATTAAGATAAAGGGCTTGTGATATCTCTCATTCTCATTTGTACTATGTACCTCTTTGGCTCATTCATACTAAAAAGAAAAGAATTTTATATGATTAGTCTTCAATTTGTTATAAGTTATATAATTAGTGTCTCGATTCATTGTGTTTTGATTGATTGATATATAATTGGAAATGATTATAATTTTTCATATTTTAGGAAAAATTAATATTATATTTTGGAAGCTAGTTGTGACTTTGGAAAATGAAAGCAATTAATTTTGGTTGATTGAGAAATTGATGGCTTGATTTATATTTTTTTTGACTAAGAGTTGTTTGAATTTCTTTTTAAAAAAATTTGTATGTAATTATTAAGGGTATGAATATAAGTATATAACTTCATAGGGGGACACCATTGCTCCCCCTTCCCTTATAGTATAGAGATATATGATGATTTCAAAAAAAAAAAAAAGTTTCATTTTTTTTAGGAGAAGTATTTTTTAAAATCTTCGAAATTTTTTATTTTTTATTTTTTTAAAAAAACTTTGTTAACTTAACAATTTAACATTATTATTATTATTATTATTATTATTATTATTATTATTATTATTATTATTATTGTTATTATTATTATTGTTGTTGTTGTTGTTGTTGTTGTTGTTGTTGTTGTTGTTGTTGTTGTTGTTGTTTTTTCAAAAAAAACAACTTATAATTAGATTAGATTGTACTCCGGAGTTGATTTCCGCACTCTAAATATTTCTTAATTCCAAACCCCTTGGGTCATTCTAGTTATTCGACCCAATCGATGACGTCTCTCTCTATCTGTTGTTGCGGTGCTGCTGTTGTTGCGTTGTGGCCCCAATCGACACCGCTATTGTTGTTGCGTGGTTGCTGCGTTGTAGTTGCTCTTAATACCGTTGTTAGGGTTTCGCTTTTATAAGGTATTCTTCTTCTTCCCCCCCCCCCCCATTTTATGTAGAATTGTTTATGTATTTTTAATTTTGTTCAAATATTGAGTTTTGTTTGAATTATTTTGCTAATTTTGGTTGAGTTTTGTTTGAATTTTGTTGGAATTATGAGTTTTGTTTCAATTTCGTGTTGAAATCCCGAGTTTCTTTGGATTTTTGTTTGAATTCTGTGTTCTGTTTGGATTTAAGGATTTCATTTAAAATCCTAGTTATTTATGGCTAGACTCTAGTTTAGCCATTTATCCCCACACCCCCCCTAAACGACACCGTACCACTACCCCCACACATCCCAGTAACTTCCCTCTAAAACTGCCAGTAACTTCCCACTACCCCACCCATATATATATATAATTAAAAAAAAAAAACTTTTCAAATAATCACATTTACTCTGCATTTTCTTTCTCATCCTCTTTCTCCAATTTCTCACTCAACCTCCATTTTCTCTCTCTACTCCATTTTCGTACATGCAATTAGCAAGTAAAATTGTCTAAAATGTCCGACATAAGAGACGAAATTGCACAATCTCGACAAATTTCAACAACAACAAACCAAAAATCTAATGAGTAAGTATGTTTTACATGTTTAGTGTAAAATTAATTGAAAATTGCGAAACAAAACCCTAATTTTTTGGTATTTTTTCTTTTTGATGATGCTTCAGGAAAAAAATTGAAAATACTGGAGTTCCAGAACAATCAAAGTAAGTATTACTATTTTTTTTGGAATTATAAGCATAAATTTATTTAAATTTGCTCATATTTAAATAAGTTACTGTTTAATTTCAAAATAAACATAATTTTCCTCTATTTTTGAGACGATAATAAAAATTTAAACAAGTTACTGTTAATATTGGAATGTATGCATAATTTTGATTAAATGATCAACCAAAAAAAATATAAAGTATAGTATTGTGAAATATAATGAACAAATACAAAACAGTATATGTTCAAATTGGATTGTGTGCATATATGTGTGCATATATATGTGTACATATGTTCAAATTTGTATATTATGTGTACAACATGCAATTTATGTTTGTTTCTAAATTGTTCATTTCTAAATTTATGTGTATACATTTACTGACATATTAATTGTTCATTTCTAAATTCCATTTTGTACAAATAGAAAACATATACTTTATTCATCTGTGTAGTAAAATGAACATTTACAAAACACTATATTGTCAAAATTCATATTATGTTATATATATCCATATATGTGTATACAAATGTTCATTGCTACAACTATATTGATCATTTATATGAACTATTCTGTACATTTGTCTAACATAGAAACATCATGTCAATTTTTATGATTTACAATATTAATTTACATTGTAGAGATGTACCATTTAAAGTGATACACTTGATGCAATTTGACAATGGAATGTTCAATCCTTATCCTATAATTCATGAGAGAAAAGAATGTTCTGAAATAGACAACAAATTGGATAGAAATGAAGTTATAAAAAAGTGGGAACCCTATTTATTAGGAGACAACCTACATCCCAAGTAAGTTGATATACTTACAAATATTCATATATGTAATATTTAATGTACAATCATTTACTTCAATACTTAATCTCATAATTGAAATATTTTGTAAAATTTTAGTCAACCAAAAAAGTTGAAAGTGAAATTTATAATGTCAAGATCAAGGCCAGAGAAAAATCAATCAATAAGGTATAAATACTTAATAAAAATTCAATAATTAATTTTTATACAGTTACATAATCATACTTTTATGTATTAACATTCGAAAAATTTTAGTGAACAAGAGAAGGAAACTTCAAAAATAGATGATGCATCAACAAATCAAGGGTATATTCTACCTCAATGTGTTTAATGTTCATTTATTTCTTAGTTGTCATACATAATCTAATGATTTGCATTCTCAGAAAAAAAACAACTGAAGAGGAAGCAAAAACTGATCACCTACAACAAGAAAAGGCTGGATCAGAATTAGTGAATACAGGGTATTTGATTCCCATAATGTTCATTTTCATATTACTTAATAAACATTTTTAATTATTTGAAATTAATTGATTTTCAGAAATCAATCACCTAAGAAAGACACAAGAGAGGTTGAACAACTACAACCAAAAAAGGATGCAGCAGGGTATTTTCAGAAATCAACTAATGTTCATTTTCATATTAGTTGATAAACATTTTTAATCATTTTCAATTTTTAATTTTCAGAAATGAATCAACTGAAGATGAGCCTCCAAAAGAGGCTACAGCAAAGGATCAGCCTACACAACAAGTGAAGGCTATAGCAGAGGATGAGCCTTCAGCAGAGGAAGAGCCTCCAAAAGAGGATGAGCCTCCAGCAGCAGTTGAAGAAACACATTCATACATAATGCAAAAGTATGAACATATATAACTTATTAAATGTTTCTATTCCACATTTACAATATTATTGATCATAAATTATCTGTTGCCAGGAAAAAATTAAAAGTTTCAACTCAAGGAATACTAAAAAAACTGACAAAAAACTGGAAAAATGCTCCTGTTAGCAAGGTCATTGCTGCTAAAAAGGCCCCTGCTACAACTGTTGATACTGCTGGAAAAGCCACTGCTGCTGAAATGGCCCCAGCTAAAAGTCCTCTGCTGCAGAAAAATCCCATGCAGCAAGTTCTGCAAATGCACAACAGAAGGCCCCTACTGAAATTAAAAAAAATCCTATTAGGTAATGTACATAATTGTTAAATTAAATATTAAATTTTTTTAATCAATAACACTTATACTGAAAATGTTCATTTACCAATTTGTAAATGATCTAAATGTATAGGTGGTGAAGAAATTGAGATTGAGGATGAAACAGAAGAAGAATTGGAAAGACAAAGACAAGAAGAATTGCAAAGGGATGAGGAGTTGACAAGAATATTGAGAGGTATAAAACCTGTTGAAGAGTTAAATTTGTCTCAAAAGAGTGAAGAATCTTCACAAAATTCAAAGCAACCAAGAAGGAAAATGGTTGCAAGGAAAAATCAAAAGAAAAAAGAATTGGAAGAAAATCAGAAAAAACAGGAAGATGAACAATCACCAACAAGAAGAACAAGAAGTAAATCACGAGGTAAATAAAATGTACAATTTCTAATATAACAATGATCATATTAAATAAAATATTACAACTATATTAATATTTATATAACAATGTTTATTTGCAGATGTTAAGTTGCCTGGCATATCAGCTATAGCAACAGCTGCTGCAGCAATTGCTGAAAACCTACCAGCAGCAACAACACCCAAAAAACCTGGGCGTCCAAGGGTTGCAACTGCAGTTGCAGAGAAACCTGCTGAGAAAACAGGGCGTACAAGGGCTGCAGTTATTGGGAAAGCAGGCCAAAAAGGTAAAAGAACATATCTAAAACAATAAATGTTCAATTACAATCTTACACTTTTAAAATGTTTATTTTACTTAATGTAATTGATCAAATAATTAGGTGGTCAGAAAAGACCTGCTGCATCAGCCAAAGGTCCTGCAAAAAAAAGAAAAGTCATAGATCAAGTGCCTTATGATAAACCATCAGAGGATGAAGAACAAGAAGAAGTCCCTGCAACAAGTTCTGCTCCTGCAGAAAATAAAATTCTTAAAAAGTAGAACAAAAAGGTAATGTACATATTAATAAAGTTAAATGTTCAAATACAAACTAGCAATTTACACTTTCATATATATATATGTTCATTTTACATATTATAATTGATCAAATGTTTAGGTGGCCAGAAGAGGCCTTCTGCATCAGCTAAAGGCCCTTTGAAGAAAACAAAAATCATTGAAGAACAATCAAAGGAGGAAAATGAAGAAGATGATAAAAGTAATACTGATAGTGGATCAGACAGTGAGGATCCAGCTTTTGATGCTGAAAAAGAAGAAGATGAAGAAAGTGAGGAGGTGGAAGTAGTTCAAGAAAAGAAAACAACATTGAAAAAACCAAAAGCTGAAGAAAAAAGAATGGTTCTGTATGAGAGGGAACCAATAAAAAAGATTGTGAAGAGGAAAACTGAATTTTCAGTGGCTAAAAAAAAAGAAGAGGAGGAAGAAAAGAATGAAGAGGAAGTTGGAAGTTCGACAAGAGGAGGCCATGTCAAATTCATGCATTGGGTTAAGAAAATGAGTGATACACAGAAGAAATTAGTGCATGAAATAGGACTGGGGTCGTTGTTGGATATAGAATTTCCTCAGCTTGACAAACAATTCAGCCATTGGGTTTTAGATAGCTTTGAAGTCAGTAGTTGTAGTTTTGAGCTGCCTAAAGGTGAGAAAATTGAAATTGAGGTGGAGGATGTGAGAATTGTATATGGTTTGCCAATGGGAGACATTCCCATTGTTGAAGCCAAATCAGACAGAGCAAGTGAAGATTTTGGTGTATTTATAAAAAATTGGAGGTCAAAATGGCAAGGCAAAACACCATCTGTAAACCAAATTATTGCTCAATATACAAGTGATAAATTCAAAAACCAAAGGCCAGCAGAAGAATATTTTCTCACCAACTTTTTGGTAGTTGCTGTGAATTGTTTGATGAAGTGTATTTCAAACAACCAATGCCATTTCAAGTTTCTGTTTTCTATGATGGACAAAGAAAAAATAAAAAACTTGAATTGGTGTCAGTACGTGTTTGACTCTCTCATCAGTTGCCATGTGACATGGAGAAAGAGTGGAGGAAAAGGATTCTACAATGGACCACTGCAATTTCTGATGGTAAGTTTACAACACACAATAGTAAATTATAAAATGTTCATTTTAGTAACAATGAATGTTCATTAACAAAATGTTAAATATCAATTTTGTCTAAAATTTTAATCTTTTATATTAATTGTTCATTTGTATTATATTATATGTTCATTTATAGTAATGGGTTTTGGTGCAGCTGTTCTACTTTGACAGAGTTCAAAGATTGAACAAAAAACAACCAAGAACAATTCCAATAATTTCTTGTTGGAAAAGGGATATGTCACTTGAAAGGATAAAAACAGAAAATGATTTGAACTATGGATATGGAAAAGTCCTTCCAAGAATAGAAGAAAAGCCTGAAGACAATCCTAAGGTACAAAATGATCATTTATAAATTATGAAATGTTCAATATCAAAACACATAATGTCTTATATGATTTTTTTTTATATGTTCTATAAATGACAGGTCTTTATGAATGAATTTGCATCAATGGTACAAGAAGTTGGTGCATCTTTGGCAAGACTTTCTACCAAATTGGTTAAGGCAAAAGAGCTCTTCCCTGGGAATCAGTTGGTCAAGAAGGTAGATGAAGTGTTGGGAAAGATGGCAAGAGAACCATCAATTCTCAGCCAAGATGAAGAAATATTTGGATCAGAGGATTTTTTGAATGCCATAGCTCAAATTGAGAAGGAACTAATGGAGGCAAGTGAAGCAGAAAAAAAGAAAATAGGAAATGAGAAGGAATATGATATAAGGAAGGCATTCAGTTTGGGTTGCAACTTAACTCCCCCAACTCCAACAACTGGTAAATATGCTTAATTAAAAACTGTCATTAATTTGAATATCCTTACTTAAAGAGTATAATATAATTAAAGAATTAAAATTTAATTTATTTGAACACAGAAGCACAGATTAATGTTGCAGCCACAACTTCAACAACAACTGATGCAAATGTTTCTTCTAAGCCAGAAGAGGGTAAAGCTTTAATATCTATGTACAATTATGAAAAGTATAATGTTCATTTATAAAATAATAAGTTTGTTTAGTCTAAATATTCAAAAAAGTATATATTCAGAATAACAAATGTTCATTTACATTAACAATTTCATATATTTTAAATCAACAGAAAGAGTTGGAGGTTCAAATTCTGAAGAACCACAAGATGGAGGAAATTCAAAAAAAGGTAAAAAGTTCACTTATATAGTATTAAATGAACATTTGTGATTGTAAAATATTCTTCTTTAATGATACTAAGTCTATATATGTGTGAATGCAAATTAATACAAAAAGCATTAAACAAAGGTGAAGGTTCAAAATCTGAAGCATTAGAAGAAAATGTTGAAGGAAATTCAAAGAGTGGTACAATGTTCACATATTACAAATAAATGATCAAATTATTAAGTATAATGTTCATTTCTAGTTATATAAAATTTCTTTCATGTATTTTGTTTGCAGCATCTAATTCAAAAGTTGGTGATCCCAAGACACCAACTGAAAATAGGGAAGCTGCTGGAGATATTTCTACAATCTTGAAATCTCCAGCATGTTCAAGTATGGAAGATATCCTTGATAAATCAAACAAGAAAGGAGGAAGCATGGGGTAAACATGGAAGATCTATCTTGTTAGAAAATATATAATTTTGAATGGACATGTAGAATAAATTTCGTTATAAAGTGTAATTATTTTGGACAGTTTTTGTTTATGAAGTTAGTAATGGATATGTATTATAAAATCAGAAGGGAATATTTTGCTTTAGGGTAGGAATGCACAATTTAAGATATGTAAATTATGTATTTTAATTTAAATGTCTTAGTAATATTTTAAGTGTTTATTGTTCAAAAAAGGAGAATAATGTTTTTTTTATATTAATTACTCTTCATTACTAACCATGATTAATATTTCAGAGAAGACAAGAACAAACAGATATATGCTTCAAATGTGAAGGAAAGGTAAATGATTATTCCACATATACATGTTCTTTTTCATTAAACTGAATAATCATTTATACTATATTTATATTCAGTGAGACAAAAAAGGATTCAAAAGAAATTGAAACAGAGAAGATTCAAATTTCCAAAAACACAACAGGACAAAGGTAAATGGTCTTTACATGTGTATAGATTTATAATGTTCATTATCAATATACTAAATGATCATTTATAATTCAATATTTATTCAGTGACAAAGAGAAGACTTTGGAAAGAAAAAAATCAAGAGAAGCTGAGAAGGCAAAAACTGAGATTGCAAAGGAAAAAGAGATAAGGTATTACTATTTGTTCTTTATATAAATTATTTGTTCATTATTAAAAAAATTCATATTTGTATTAATATATGGTCACATTAACTAGGCCACAAAGGGAAATCCCAAATGTTCCTCTTGCTTTCCGATCTCCATACATGGTCAAGTACAAGGATTTGTTCAAAGATGAAGACACAATGAACAAACTTGTAACAGACTATGCTTATAGTGGAAAAGATCAAAGGTATACATCACTTACTTCATTAAAACTTTAACATTATGTTTGTTGTAAACTCATAAAATTTAAAAAATTGATATTTTTCAGTGAGCTACTATACTATGATGGAGTGAATTCGATCAATAGGGCAGAGATGAAAACTCTTGAAGGGGATACATTAGTAGTTAACAATGTGATCGATTCATGGGCAGTACTTCTGAATCAAAAAAGGTCAAAGAACAAGTTATACTTTTCAACATTTCCACATGTAAGTCTTTATTGAAATTACACATGTATACATTGGTGAACTAAAATGATCAATTCACTTATACTAGATGATCATTATGAATATTAAAATGATCCTTGTGCATTATTTGCAGCAAATTATGTATGCAAATACAGTGTGTCCTGAAGGATCATCAATGGAGCTTAGAATTGCATACTTCAAAGAAAGAATAACAAATGAATTGAGGTTATACAAAATCAAGAGTGCAGTTGGATATCAACAGGTATTAATGAACAATATGGAATTATAATATGTTCATTTACATTAATGTGTATATATAATAATATTGTGTACTATGTACAGATTTTTTTTCCAGTGGCCATATATGCACCTTTCTATCTTCTATGCATTGATCATATCAATGAGACAATACATATAATTGACAACAGGAAACTGCCAAAACATCAAACAATTGCAACAAAGTATGAAAACCAACCCCAATTGGTGGTAAGTATATTGTTTAATAGATATATAAATGATCAATTTGTTTATACAAAATGATCAATATTGAAAATTAAAATGATCAATATTAATATGATCCTTTGAATTTTTTTTTCTATATATGTTGCAGTTAAAAGGATATGCAGAATATTTGAAAGGGTTGGGGTATGAAGATGCAGATTCTATTGAGAAATATAAGGTGGTTTTGCAAAAAATGAAGTGGAGGAGCAACGAAGATACACCAACTGTGGAGTTTACATTATGAAACATATGGAAACTTTCACTGCTGATCCCAATGAAGAATGGGTTTGTGACCTAAAACCAAACAATGTAAGTAAATTTCAACAAAACAAAAAAATATACTTCATGATCACTTTATAATACATAATGATCATTTATATCCCATTAATGTTCATGTTTATAATAAATTATTTTCTTGGAACATGTGAACCAAATCAGAAAGCTCAGAGTACAATACACTGCTGAACTAATGCTGAATGAAGGAAACATGCAGTCACAGAACAATAGAAGAGCAGCAAGAAGATTTGCACAAGCTTAATACAATATGTTCATATATAGACATATATATGATCATACTTGCTTTCAGTATTTGTATGGACATAAGTTTTTGTTGTTGTTCAAGTAAAGACAAAATTTATTATCTTTTTAATATTTACAAATAGTAAAGTGTTACATTATAATTGCCAGTTTTAAATCATCTAATATAATTATTCCAATTTAATAATGGTTCTTACTATTTAAAATAGTATATGATCACTTCCAAAAGCAAAAATAATCATTTATAGAACATTTAAGAATAGTTTGAAAAAAAAAGATTCAAATTACTTAATAAATCAAAATATAAAAAACTTAAAGCACTTGAATCTCTATAAAGTTGAGACAACTAAAAATGTTGATAGTTAAACACCAAAACATAATTGCATATTGATTTACTCTCTTATTTACCATTTGTAGCCAATCTCTTAGCCACACTAGTATCAAAAAACGCTAATAACCTATCATATTTGGTTGAAATCTGTGGAGAACCTCCTTGAGTACTTCTTGAAACAGTAGGAGATCCTTAAACATTCATTGAAACACTAGAAGAAAGTAGAACATTCCTTGAAACACTAGGAGAAACTTGCACATTCCTTAAATTTCCTTGAGTACTTCTTGGAACATTAGGACATCATGCACATTTCTTGAAATACTAGAATCAACTTGAACATTCCGAAAACAGCCTTGAGTACTTCTTGGAACATTAGAAGGAGCTTGAACTTTCTTCGGAACACTAGAACGAACTTGAACATTTCTTGGAGCTTTTAGAGGATTTTGAACAATGCTAGAAACTTTAGAAGGAGCTTGAGCATTGATTTGAGCATGCACAACTGTGGGAAATTGTACATTTCTTGGTTTCTTTGGTGGCAATTGAGAACTTGTTGGAAAATTATCAACATCATGAGCAATTGCAGCTATTTTAACCTAATGATCAAAATTAAAATAATTAATGATCAAATTCAAAATTCATAATGACCTTATACAAAATTAAAAGGTAGATGATTAATATTTCACCTTAACAATAGAAGATATGTCTGGATCAACAGTAACGTTTGATTGCATAGAGCTATATCCATATTCCTATAATAAAATGAAAATTATAAAAACATTATAATCACAACTTAAACTACTAAAATGAACAACTACAATTACATACATAATCATTTACATAATACCTGTTCAAAGTCATTTGAAACACTATCATCTGAAGGGATATCTTCTACAATGGCAGTCTTTTTATTACAAACCTTGAAAAAAAATTAAAAGTAAAAATGTTTTATATTCTAAAGAATTTGATAAAAACAGATAAAAAAAAAGAAAATAAGTTTTTACCTGAGCACTTGGATCTTCAATCACAATTAACTCATTAGGATCAGCCAAAGAATTAGCATAAGATATAGGACACCCATTCTCGTCCAATTCCTAAGGCAAAACAAAAATGTTCAATTCTTGAACATAAATGATCAATAACAAAAACATAAATGTGCATTATTACCTGAACTACTGCTTGACCTTTAGATCTTTTATAAGGAGTGTATACTGACTTTTTCTTCAACCACTGACCCCTGGCTTTGTTATAAGCCTTCTCTAAATTACTCTTAGGCCTATAATTCCTCTCTCCAATAGGTCTTGATTTTGCCGGATTCTTAACTTCATGATCAACAATTTCAATACCTTCAACCGGTTCATTAAAATCAATAGTACCAGTAACACTCTCAATCTTTTCTTTTAAAAGATTGAAATAACATTCAACCTCTGCTCTAGCATTCAAAGAGTGTTGACAACTTGTTACCAACTTAACAAATTTCCTTAGTGTTTGTGTCCTCCAAACACTTGTAGATACTACATTGGTTTTCATTGTAGGTTCATCAAGGCCATGACTACACATAGCAGCCTTAGTCCACCTCTTACATATATAGTCATCTGGAATCTTATGAACACAATTCATATGATAAATTCGAAGAGCATGACAACAAAGCAAACCCATTTCACTAAACAACATGCATGTACAACATATTGCATGTGTTTCTTTATTAAAAACAACCTCGTGCTTGATCATATCTTTCCCAGGTCTCCACAAATGATAATAATATTCAGGAAAATTCACACCAGCATCCTTATGATCACAAGCAGTACCCTTAATGAACTCTTCCTCAAAAAGCACATAAGCTTGAATAGTATACAATGATCTAGCATGAACAAGAATCCCAATGTATGCAAAGGCCAAATGACGATTACCTTTGATTGTATTATAATCTCTCCCTTTTTCTTTGCTTCTCCACTCTTGAACCACATCGAGAAACACTTGATAGAAATCACATAGACCTTGTGTCTTGTTAAGCCTTTGAGAAACTGATTTGTTAGTTGTCTCACTACGTTGAGATGAAAGCACACCTCCTGACCAAAATTTCTTTGAAAAAGCTGGACACCACATCTCTTTGATTTTATACAAATCATTCAACCAATCAACATTTGCACAGTCATATTTCAACAACATTCTGTAAATGAAACATGATCATTAAGCATAACAGTTATGATCATTATAAATAAACATTTATAAAAAACTAAATGTTCATTTCTGTAAAAATTATTTAAGAAGCTAAACAAGTATAAAGCAGAAGTACCTTTTCCAATAATGCTCAAATTCTGGTGGAGTTTCACAATACTTCAGTAAATAACCAAATAAATCAGTGAAACCATCCAAAGCTCTCAACGCCCCAATGTGTTTCTTAGAATTTTGTTCAATATGCCACACACATAATATATGATGAACACCTTTGGGGAAAATATTTCTTATCCCAGCTGCAATTGCTTGAGCTTGATCAGTCATAATAGTAATAGGACTTCTCCTTCCCATATAAGTTAGAAAAGTATCAAATAACCACTCAAATGATTATGTTCTTTCATTAAGTATAAATCCCATGCCAAACATCACATTATTTGCATGATGATTCATACCCACAAATGGAGCACAAATCATACCTTATTAAATGTCTCTTGTCAACAGGAATCATTTCATGATTATGAACCATCTCATGTCTTGTACATGTATATACACCTGAACGGTCAATACTAAACTGCACAAAAGCTAAGCAACCAGTCCTTATGTTAAGTCTCTCATACAGCCTATTATTCCTGCATTTATCATCTTTAAAACCCTCATTTGTACAAACAAAGCTTTTCATAGAGAATGAATCATCTCTTCGCCTATTACTTTTTCCAATTCTAATTCCAAAGCCCTTTCTAAATGCATATTCATTAAACATTTCATAAGCCACATCTTCAGAAGGAAATTGTTTCCCATAAAATTCAGAACTAGCTGCTTCCTCAAATAAAATAGCATTCTTTTTTTCCACTGCAATATTAAAATGTAACAAATGAACACAAATAATAGCAATAATGTACAATAACCACATGTAAACTGTTAATGATCATTTATCATTACATAAATGAACATATATCAAAATGATAATAAAACATTTAAATGAACATTTATGATTACATAGATAAATGTGAATTACAGTAATTACACCTATGTTAACGTAAATGTACATATAATCTAACATACATGAGCATTAATTGAATGTCAAATTTTATAAAACTATAGACAATCATTAAAATGCAGAAAACTGGAAAAAACATCAATCGAATAACAACATTACAAAGAAAAACAATAAAATCACAACAATACATCACAAACTATAAATTAAAATAATCATAAATAAAAATGAAATCAAATATTATAATCGACCATAATTTTGATTTTAATTCATACAATAAGCAAAATTACAAAACCAAAAATTATAATTGAGCATTATATAAACTATAGTTCATACAATTATCAAATTATGAAATCAAAATCGAACTATTACATGCGAAAACAGAGCATAATCAAAATCGAATGATTGAGGGAAAAATTACTCACATTGTTGCGAAAACGAGTCGACTAAACCAACTCCAGCAGGAAAAATAGAATCACAATCACGATAAAAAACAATTAAGCTAGAATCACAGTCACGATCAAACACAATTGAGCTAGAAATTTCCATGGAAGAAGAGAGAGAAAAATTGGGGGGAAAATAAAAAATGCAGGAGAGAGAAAATGAAATAAGTAAAAAAAGAGAGAAATAAAATAGAAATTAGGTTAAGAAAATCATTATATAGTTGCTTGAATAGAAAGTTAACAAAAATGAAAAAAGATGAAGAAAAAAAAAACAAAATAGCAGAATGATTATTTATGGCTTGAATATAAAACGACGTAATAGCATGAGGGTGTAGGAGAAGCTAGCTACCCTAGAGTCTAGGCAAAAATTTGTATTAAAATCCTGGAATTGGGCCAAATAAGTTGTTTGGATAACTCAATAATTTGGATTTGTATTTAGCCCAAATCCAAGCCCTTACAAACATAACTGTAGCTTTAAGAATTTGAAACTCCAATACAATCGACGTTATTTCGAATCCTGTTTTTTCTCACCACCACTGCCCTCAATCATCATAGTTGCTACCACGAATCTCCCTTCTCCACCATCGCTTAAATACTTCAACCACCAAGTCCAATCACCAGACTCCATAGCAACGCCGCCTAAGCCACCTCCGCCGTCGCAGCCGTTGTAGTAGAGCCGCGCCTGTTGATGATTTAGAGTGTCAAAGTGGCGTGCCCGCGCAAGGTCGGGGCGGCCCGTGTTAAAAGCGCGTCAAAATCGCGCCAATTCTCTGGATCGTTAGAAGAAGTCTGGAATGAAAAATGGTGCGGGGTGGAGGAGCGTCCGCGCTGTGGTGGAGGAGCGCCGACGTCGATTCAGTTTTGCGATTTTCTATTCTTTTTATTCAAAAGGCGGATTGTGAGATGAATGAATTCAGTTTTTCTTCTCCTCTCCATATTCTCTCTTCTCTACACTTTCTTTGAAGAAACTTGCAATCTCTTCCTTGAAATCTCTATCAATTAAGTTTACATTTGAGAGTTTAATAATCTTATTACGATTCTTAGTGCAAAGATCGTAGTGTCGTCTATTGTATCTCAAAATGACTTTCCGGTTTCAACCCAAGCACCGTTGTGGGGGAAATAATCACTTTAGGAAAGTGCATTCACGCTTAGACGAGTATCAAGTATTGAAGACTTACGTGGTCATACTCATTCTCATGTTCTTGATCGTTTTAAGGGCTTGGAGTAAGGCAAGTTGTTTTATTTTATACTTGTAGTTTAGTTTGTAAATTTTCTGTAATTTACTTACTAAACTAGTTAGTGCTTGGTTTGTGTGTGTAATTGATTATAATTATACATTGTAATTTCTATTTTATTCCCACATCTTGTAGTACTAGAGTTTGTACTAGTAGGAGAAAAACCCTAACAGCGGCGCCGCCGCCAAATACATCATTACTTTGTTTACAAGATTGTTTTGTTCGATTGAAGCTTTAGTTTCATCTAAATTAAGTTACTGTAATTTCATCATTTTCATTCTAATAATCAAATTGGGGAAAAAATTAGGGTTTATAATCAAATTGGATTCATATAAAACAATCAAACTATAATTTTAATAATAAATAAAAAACAGAACAAAATTATTAAAATAGCATAAAATTGATTTTTTTTTGGAAGAAATTGACTATAATTAAACGTTCCAAAACGTAAATTGATAGTCAGTACATTTATAACTTAGTCAATTTTGTTTGTTAATTTCTCTTTTTTAATTTTGTTCGTTCCTTCAATTAAAAATTATCCGGGAATTGAAATTCTACTATTTCACAAACAAATATTTCGGTATTGAATACTAAGAATTCAAATTCTGAAATTGAAATCTATCATTTGAAATGAATTGAGTATATCCAAACACAACCTTATTGGTGTTTGGGTGGTTTTGTGCAGACTTTTGGGGCTGAATTTGGGCGTTGGTTGCTGCTGTGTTGTTTCTGCTTCGAATTGTCTGAATTTGTTTGTATTCCAATTAAAGCAACACTACAATAATCAGTACGAAAAACAATTCAAAGTTTTCCATCCTCCACCAGCATTCACTGTTGTAAACTTTGATTTTATAATGGTGAGATGCAATGATAGGTATACATACACTGATGAAAAAAAATCTTGGTAACAATAACGAAACGATTAAATGCTTTAATAAATCCATGAGTGTACAGATTTGGTTTATGTTTCATTGTAGTTTGATTATTGGCAATAGCTTGCGTTATGTTTGTTTATGACATAAATACAACACTATGTTTGCGTTTTAACAAAAGCTGTTGTTTATATTGAAAATTTCTCTCCTGGTCAAGGAAGAAGGTAGCAAAATTATCTTGCATACAACCTGAACAAAGCATCTCCATTTTTCAAAACATATTTCAATCATTCAAGCCTTTAGAATATACTTCCTCCGTTTGACTGATTTTGTGGCAATTTTATTTATTTATTTATTTTTTCAATTTTATTTTATTTATTTGGGGAAACCGAACTTTGGCTTTTGTTCTATCCATCACCTTAATTAATTGATTCTTGCCTTTTTCTTTCTCAATTTTTCATCAGATCGAAAACAGAATAATTATCAGACCATGGATACGAACAAGGACTACTCAATCAAGGTGAGTTAATTTTTTATAATTTATATTGTACTCCGTACTTACTAAATATATCAGATATGGCTTAGGCTCTTGATTTTACGTGTTGTTAGGAAGGATTATGCGTGTTTATCATTAAATTAACATACATTCAGAACTAGTGATGGTCAGAGGGATGTTTAATTTATAATATTGATTGATGCATACTCACTCTTAGGAGGCCTTCCCAGTAGAAAACTGTGATTCAATAGCTTACTGAATCACGGGGTATTTTGGTGTAACATTTGGAAAGCTACGGGATAGTTTGGTCTTTTCATGTGCAAACCAGGGGGTGTTTGGTAATATGGGATGAGTTTTTGTGCTGTGATTTTTTTGGTTGTTGCATCACAGTGATTGTTTAGTCATTTTTCCACTCTTAGAGTCGTAGACTAGCAAATTGATCATATTTATTTGAAAATGAATGAATTGCAGGCAACTGTATATCTATTCTTGTGTGATGGTTATGTGCCTAAGGTAGTTATTGAAGAAGGGTTGAGCTATAACACTACCATTAAGGAACTAAAATTGAAGCTCTGCAGCTTAGCAACCGATATTGGGCATGAACAAGTTGATCTTGACAAAGCAAAATTGATTTGGGATTTGAACAAGTTGGAGGACAACATGACTCTAGGATCTCTTCCTTATTCGCCCATTCTCGACAGAATGTATCTACTTCCAGACATTACTCGGACACGATGGCAGGAGGAGTCTGAGGAGGAGCTACGATGGCTGGACATTTGCACCCACGTATGAGAGGAAGAGGAAGCACGACAAGAGGAGGAGGGGGTTAAGTCCTTGTCTAGAGAGAAGAGACCCAAAGTCAATGGACAACTCCCTTTTGCTCAGTTTGGAGGCCTATTATTTGATGGTGGCTGTCTTGAGTTTGGGAGTCATGTTCCTGTTGTCTCTAAGATTGAGACTTTTGCCAACTCCTTTTCCACTGTTGCTTCTGTTGTTCTTCTAGTTCCAAATATCCGCATCTTTAACACTGTGTTGTCTTCCTTGCCTAGCCACTCTGTCTAAATACTTGGTTCTTCGTGTCAGTTGGGATGTGTTATCCTATGTGTTTCTTAGGCGGCTCAGGCTACGTTATCCTAAACTGCCTTTTGTTGCAGTCACCGATTTAGATCCCCACCACCTTGACCTCTTCACATTCCTCGACACCCCTCCTTTGTCTGTAATCAACTGTTATGGCTGGCATCTAGGGTTGGATGCTGATGATGAGGAAACATCCTTTATTGATGAGTATGAGTTTGTGGAAATTGCCTGGCTTGGTTTGAGGCCTTCTCAGTTGCATGAGCTCAAGCGTTTTGACGGCCAAGCCCCTTCATCTGCCCCTGCCCCTGATTTTTGCAAGGTCATTCGTATGCTTGAGGTGAATCCCTATTTGCGCTGCAAGAAAACCTGGTTAGAAGAATTGGGACACCTCTAACGCTATGGCAAGACTGTGTTATTGGAGCCTTTAGATGATAAATTTATTTCCAAGAAACTATCTGAAGAGGATTGGAAATAAGAACAAATTCATCCACTTCATTCGTAGTTGCTTTATTATGATTTTCTTTCATGTACTCGAGTTTTAATTTGTTCTCATAATGACTTAGTTTGTGACTTATATTGCAGCATCTTTCATGTACTTGTATGCAGCATCCTACTTTGGTTATGGATCAATTGAGACTTATATGTTGGATCGTCACTGGGATTTATACTGTTTTGCCAATCTAATAGTATTGTGATCATTATCATGGATCATTTGTATTCATAATATCAAGAGTATGAACCAGTCACAAGATTGAGGGAATTCTAATTTGCTCAATATACTAATACAAAAGAAAATAATATACTAATACAGTTTTGCTCATTTGTATTCATAATATATCAAAAGTCAAGTTTACGAGAATTCAAATTTGCTCAATATACTAATACAAAATAATATACTAATACAGTTTTGCTCAATATACTAACACAAAGCCTTTTGGGTGTGGGTTAAGCCCAAAACGGACAATATTGTACTAGTGTATGTATGAGCGAAAAAATAGACAATGTAAATATGGGGCCATCTTCGCCTACTTAGGAAAGGGGATTTAAACTTGTGAGTTGTGACTATGTATGTGATAAGTATTTATATCCTTTCACTGCTTGTTTTTACTATGTACTGATATTAAACTTGAGATTAGTCATGCATTAGCGAGGTCCTTACCATAGAGAATCACTAATCTCTATGGTTAAGTCATCAAAGTACTCTGATCCCTAAGCGATAGGATGTCAATTGCTTGCTTGCAATTTTGCATTTACAACTACTAGTTGTTGCACCGCGTACGGTGCCCCGGACGGTGAGCAACATGGTAGTTGCTTGAAAGAGTGTAGCACATGCAAGTTCTAAAAATTCATCTCATCAGGTCCGGTCCAGTCTGGACTAGAATTATAACTAGTCTGGTCTAGGTCCACGCAAAATAGCAAATCTGGTCCTGTCTAGATTCCGGTCTGGACCGGTTTATGTTCACCCCTAATCTGCAAAACCTAAATTGATAGAGTATTTGGAGTATTGTGTTCGAGTTCCTCCATTTTACCAAGTTCAGCAAAAAAATAAAAAAATTAGCTTGATCAATAAAGATGTGAAGTCCATGATTTAATATATTTAAAATTTCATAGTTGGGAATAAAAAGACATTTTTCACAATTTACATATCTCATATTCAAATACGGATTTGTGTAGCCCTGAACAAAGAACTTCAAACTTTGGTCTTTCCTGCTACATAGTTTATGTCTCAGTTCATCGATCACTCTAGAACTACCATGTTGCTCACCGTCCGGCCCGTGCGATGCGCGTGGTGCAACGGCTAGTTGGATTAAGTTTGACTAAATGTGGTGAACTAAACCTATTGTATAGAAGACCAACACTTACAGATAAATAATTTTTGTTTCCATTTGGCCTACTTCCACCAAAGGATCGTAGAGTTAAGTAACAGACAAGAAGATCACGGGAAAGCAAATTGCACATACGTAAGTTACTGTATTACGATTGCATTATATGCTTCCTCAAGATGAAAGACATAGTTCAGTTCAAATTGTCTTATTCATATGTAACATGGACAACATTTTTTTTTTTTTTTTTTGACAAGAACATGGACAACATTACAAGGAACTATTAGTGGTGGAAAAAGTACTCAGCATTTACTCTAATATAGCATATTGTGCGTAAAACTTCCATATAAACATCACAAATTAACAATGCAAAATTATAACCTTTTTTTTCGAAAGTAGAAGTATACATTGGAGCATTTATTACAGAACACATAAGAAAGCACCAAATAAAATAAAAAATAAAAACTGAAAATGGAAAGAAAACAAATAGTATGTGTTTCTTAAAATGAGTACGATCCACTGTTTGTGACTCACGAAATCAATTAAGCACCTCCCTTGAGCATCTTTGTGATAGAAGCAATATACTTGCCCAAAGTTAAAGCATTCTGACAAAGTTAATTCAGAAAAATGTGACTACACAATGACAAAGACTTATCGCAATTATGTCGGTATCAATGACCCAAAGTTAAAGCATATTGACAAAGTGAATTCAGAAAAATGTGACTACACAATGACAAAGACTTATTGCAATTATGTTGGTATCAATGACCCAAAGTTAAAGTGAAATCAGAAAACAGTGATTAGCCAATGACAACAACTGAATGCAATTATGTCGGTAACAATGACAACTGAAATCAACTTGTTAAACAACTTGTCATTCAATATTGGAAAAATCAGAATACAAGTTTACATCTGACATTTAAATTAAACACACCAATAATACAACTTAAACATAAAAGACTACATTGCACATAATTAAAAACTTAACTAATACAAGCGTACACCTACTACAACCAAAAATGCTTAAAAGCCTTGTAATTTACCCAGTAAAAAATTCTTGTACGACTCTTCTTCAGGAGTGAGTGGCGTAGGCAAATTCTTCAGAGTTTGCAGTATATCAAACATGGTTCTCATCTTATGAATGTCAAATTCCTCCCGTTTCCTCTGTTCCTTATCCTTTTCAATTTTGATCCTCTCTTCCTTCAGAATGGCCTCCCTTTCGCAAATTGTAGCGAATTCCTTCATTCGTTCGCTAAGGTCAGACGAACCACTTTCTGTAGCTACTTCTTTCCCTTTACGCTTGGCCTTTGCTTTCTTCACACCTTCGGGTCGTTGTATTCCTCCAGATGAAAAACCATCCGTAGGGGTTTCATCCTCTACATCATCTCTGGACCTCTTCCCACTTCCAGCACTACCTTGCTCCTCAGCATCACAAGCAGCTTTTCTTTCCTTCTTTGATAAGGACCATCTCAGCTTTGGCCCCCACTTTGGATCTTTATTAAGCATTTCAACCGCGTGAGGATAAGTGAAATTGCGACCTTGGGCGAGATGAAAAAGCTTCGACGTACTTTTTATACGGTCAGCTTCGTTGTAATCACTCCCTCCCTCCGGAAGTCTACCCGCTTCATCATAGCAAGATATCCACTGAAGTGTGTCTGCTTCCAACCTTCTCCAATGCGACGTCAGACTCTTCATAGGTCTTGGTGGAGGTATATGCGGCTTCTCCGCATGAGCCATTTGAAATGCTGCGTGTACATTGCGCCATAGGGAAGTTGCTTTCTACATAGTACATACAGTAACTGGACGGCCAACTTTGTGAGACATAAGCTACTGGCAAATCAGTTTCAACGAATAAAAATCATTTTTTATCGGTAAAGTATATTTTTTAATTTTTATAGGCAAAAGTGATTGAAACTTTCAAGTTCGGCAAAATCAAGTGTAGTAAACAGGGTTTAACACAAAAGAAGAAAAGAAACAGCCAAAATGCTCAGCTTCACCAAACAATTCAAATCACCTTCATACATTACTTTAGAATACAGTCTGGTCTTACTACACATAAAAAACATACCCGAAGCTTTTTTGCTTGGTGCGAGAGCTTGCGGAGGAACAATGGAGGAAAGCTCGCATAATGGCCTTCTCAGCACTGAATATGTTGGGTGTTCAATGGCCCTGTCAAAAGGTCAAAAATCACCATTTAAGAAAATAAGGCTGCAGTCATTTTTAATCATGACAGACAAAAGCTCCAAGCCATTCGCTACAGCACATTCAATCATAAGATAGAATAAGTGAATGTTAGGGAATGAGGGGAAAGCCAAATATGTGGTGCAAATGTATTACCATATATGTGAATCCTTCACACAGGTCAATATATCAAGGTTGGGAGCACGAGGATGACACCAAGATGCCACACTATGGCAAGTCATCTTTGGAACTGGTTTTATCCGCCGCATCTCCTGAAGAAAAGGAAGAAAAAAGCTAGGCCATCATGTGATAGAGTAAATCTAGGGCACCATCCATTAAAGAAAATGCTAACTCTCATCTATATTTTCCATTCATTCTAAAAACAAGAGCTCCAATGTAAGTGTCAGGATATACAAACAACTACAGCAACAACTTTGATTTTGAAGCAACTTTTCTGTTCAGAATACCCTAAATGACTTAACCAGCAATCTCAGACCTTGAATAAGACTGTATCCCATACAGCCAATATTTTATCTGCACCAATTGTAATAAGCTGTGGAGCACGGAGCACCACCAGGCACTGTTGATAATTCTACAACAACTCCACCATCGTGTGCCTTAGCACAAAACAAATAACAAGTTCAGTAATTACGAGATGAAACTTTTTAATTGTAGATGACAAATAGAAGATAAAAAAGATCCGATAATTAAATTGCCATTTACAAACAGATCAGCAGAAAGAGAACAGAACAACTACCTTCAGGCTAAGGTTGGGTACAAGCTCTTGTGCCAAACTCGTGTGTGAAACCTATTACGGGGTGAAAGGAGTAACTTACACTGGAGTTCTTCGTAACTAGCACATCCAACTACCAAAATCCCAATCATGTAACTATTTCTCCTAATCTTATGGTTTTATTACTTTTATATATCCAATGAGAAACTAAAGCTAGAGCCCAAAAATGATTCAAGCAGATGAAGAAATAGAATACAGCCATAAGAACATAGTGTTACACAATTATAGCACAGCGAGCAGAAAAATTCAACCTAAGTGACAATGACATAAGCTGCATAGAAACTGATATGGAATAATGGACCCTGGCATGTTCCAGCAGTCCAGCCCCACCAGGTTTCATGCTTTCTCATTCAAGAGAACTAGGAAAATTTGGATCAGAAGGACAGATCAAACTTCTGCTCAAAAATAAACCAGTAAATCTCTGTTACTCACTGTGAGAAACGTTTTTGTTTCTCACAGTGGCAGTTTCGTAAATAAAATGTACCACCGTGACTAAAGTGGTACAAATTTATCATCCATTTCGTAAATAAAATGTACCACCGTGACTAAAGTGGTACATTTTATTTACGAAACTGCCACTCGTTTCTCACAGTGAGTAATGGAGGCGCCCTCTATTCGTTGACAAAGAATAAACTATCGTTGACAATTAAGTTATGCCATTGTGTACACCAATTCTACGATGGTTTACCTCGCCTGAAGAAGCCATGAAAGTCATCACATATAACAATAGATTTTGAACACTATCGCATGTTTTGAAACTAATAATGTAATATTTACAGGGATAAAAACAAAACTCATATCGAATTCAAAGTATCGTGCCTTATAACTTCATTACACGAACTATTTCAAATGGTGAATGAAAAATACAGAGTGTTTTTTGTTTCGCTCAAAAATAAATACTCAATGGTGCCAAGCATGAGGAAATGCTAAATGCTTGGCAAGTTCTCCTCAAGTTTATAAAAATAGTTAAATTACTAGGTTAGTTTCCGTGAGATGCACGATTATACCAAAATTATGTGCTAATATTAATCTCCAGCTATGAACTTTACATAGCCTCAATTCAAATTATCACGACCATAAAAAGACAAACCTTAAGTTTTTATCAATACTATATGTTCAAATTCAAACAACACCATCCAAATCATATCATATCATTCCTTAACTTGAAAAGAAAGTGCTGAGTATGGACTATGGAGCTTAGCTAAATTCTAAAAGATTTTTAATCAGTTTAAGAATTCTAGCTAGTCTCCAACGGAGTGCCTTGAATATTAATAAGAAAAGTTTGTGAAACTCAACGATAATGTTTTCTAATTAGCTAGATAGCCTATAATAATTGGATTAATTGCAATGAGGAAGGTTTGTGAAACTCTCGACTCCTAATGAATAGAATTTCTTATTTTAATTACAAATTGTCATGTTCAACCAAACACCTAAAACCCCCGTGATACACGGTTTTATTAAATTTATTTGTAAAATTTGTTTATAATAAAGATTCATTAAATATTTATGATAATGATAGATGAAAATTATGAAGTAGGTGTTAATAAATCAATTGATTTTTTTTCTTCTTAAAAACCTAGTAAATAATATAAAAATGATGTAATTTAATTATATGATGTACTCCGTATTCGTATAGTATTAATATTTTATACTCCCTCTATACTCTAATGAAGTGTGCATATTCCTCATTTGGATGTTCTCTATTGATATGTACGTATTGCTTTATTCCGTTTTGGGACACATTTTTATTATATTTTAATAAGGTTGGATTCACATTTTTCCTTACTTTTCCTTATTTTTTTCTCCATTTACACGGGTGTTGTTAAACGTCGTTCCCAAATTACAACTCGTCGCTCGCATTTTTTTCATGAAATTACGTTTTTGCCCCCGTATATAAATAACTCACGACAGTTACAACACATTTTACGCTCGTACTTTCTCTCTAAAAACTAATTATCTTCAAAAATAAAATAAAAAAAACAGGATTTTTTTTTAAATCTGAAAATTCAAAAAAAAAAAAAACCTGAAAATTTGGGACATCCGCCTGAAATTTCTGACATCCGCCTGAAATTTCTGGATGTCCCAAAGGACATCCGCCTGAAATTTCTGGATGTTCCCTGGGACATCCGGAAATTTCAGGCGGATGTCCCTAAAATTCCTTTTTTTTTTTTTTTTTTTTTTTTTTTTTTTTGTTTTTGTTTTTTTTTGGTTTTTTTTTTCGTGCTTAAATTTTTTTTACTCATAATTAATGTTATGTAATTTTGGTTTTTTTTGTTGTGATAAATATTTTTTAAATAATTGATTAAATGCAAGTGGTGGGTCAAAGTGCTCGGGAATAATATTAAACTGCTCGGTATACTATGTGACAAAGTGGTAGAGCCTTATATAGGTCAAATTAACACAATGGCAAAACGGTAATTTCACATTTAAATGGGAGCGTTACCATGTAAATTGGGAGCGTCGAATTGCAGTTCACTTCTCTTTCCAATCTATTTTTGCCTTTTGACCCTAATAGTAAATGCACACTTCATTAGAGTATGGAGCAAGTGGACTACATTACAAGATAATTTTTTTATTTGTATTTAATTTTCTAAATTAAATTTTGATTTTGATATGTTAGTTTTTTTTTTTTTGTTTTTTTTTTATATATATAATTTTTATTCCGTTATACAATATTTATAAATTCCTAAATACCCCTGGTCAATTGAATTACCACACTCTTATTGCACGGGGTATATAGTGTGTAATAAGTATCACATAATTAGCAAAGTAAATAAGTATCATATAATTAGCTATAGTGTGTAAATATAAGTATCATATAATTAGCTATAAGTATCATATAATTAGCAAAGTAAATAAGTATCGTATAGTGAGTAATAAGTATCACATAATTAGCTAGCTATACGTGAAAGTAAATTAGCAATTATCACATAATTTTTACATCTGTCTTACTTGTGTATTTGTTGAAAGATTATCAATAAATTAATTTTACATGCAAAAATAAATTGACATAATTAAATATCATATGTCAAAGGTGATAACTTGCCAATTAAAGAGTATACTCCAAAAGCTATCACCTATGTCATTTTGACAAGTAGATAAGTATAAAATAATATATGAATATTGCGAGATTATTTATTGCATAAAATTATTGATTTACTTGCTAAAAAAATGGTAGGGAAAATGAGCGGGAATTTTTTTAACCACAACGCGACATTTGGCGAGTTATGCTTCAAGTGGACCCTGCTTTAGTATAGTATATATATGATGATGATATGATGATTAAATCCTATGAATTTTAGTTGATTAAAATATTGAATAAATTTATACATAAGTATATTTGTGAAAGGAATTTAGAGATGATAAATTACTACCAAAATCTCATTATAATTGTTTCTAAAGATAATTTGGAAATCTCTATTATATAAGGGAAGAGGGGAGGTGGTGACGGTGGCAACGGTGTCCACATGAAAAGTCCAAAATACCCCTCTTCCCTTACATATAGAATAAAGAGTAATTAGTTTTATTTTTTAAAAGTCAATTCAATAACTAAAAAAAGGAAAGGTAATCAATTAACCAATTAAATATAAATTTAAATTATCTCTAATTAATTTTTTTAAGGGATATCTCAAATTTAATTTGACAAATAAATGAGATAAGGAAAGAGAGAAATGTTATTTTGTAACACCCCAATAATTCTCTCTTTAAAAACCTGTAAATACCTTTAACAATTTGCAAGAGAATTACTGACGTGCTACCGTCA